GTGTGTGTGTATTTTGTTTTGCTTTTGTTTTTAAGATGGGGAGAATTTTCTTAAAAAAAAAGAAAGAAGAAGATGGAGTCTTATGGCCTACCTTCTACCACCGGTCAATGACCCAGTCACCAAGAAAATATGCGGGATGAAACAGAGAAGGCCTGGTTGCTAGGAGGTCAGAGGCAAGGGAACACAACAAAGCTTACGCATGCTGCCACTTCGGTAGGAGACATATAATATCAGTTACTAGAACTTCCATTCTGCATTGGAGACCACTGACTGTCCACTAAAGCCAGTCCTGCCCCTCTTTCATTGTAGCTGAGCGCACAACAGATCAGCAGAAGACTTCATTCACAGCCTCCCAGATGTGGCTGACTCCCTCCTCACCAGTGGAATAATGTGGGATGTGATGGATTCCTGGTCTGGGGCTGAAGGCATCAACATGCACCCCTCTATTCTCCTGACTTTCCTACAAGCTGGAATGCAGACATGCCTTTGACAGGCATGGGGCTCACAGACGAGGATAACCCAACACCATGAAAGGAATCTGTGATCTGGAGTGCCCACATGGAGCAAAGCTAACCTGAAGTAAGAGGAAAATAACTTTCTATTCTTTTCAACGATTGTGTTTTTGAGCCTCTTTGTAACTGTAGCCTTAGCTTTCACTCTTACTACCACACATTATAACATCTGAAATTAAGGTTTTAGCATGAAACTAAAGTGCCCTCAAATGATACCTGTTTTCTCTGTTTAATATAAATCTTCCCTGATTTCTAGAGGTATTCTGTTATAAGGGCAATAATATAATGGTTGTTTCCTGAGTTTCTACAAGACAAGTTCACAAATTAAAAGAAGGAACATCATATTTTTCCCCTTGCTTCTTTAATAAATGTGCTAGCTTTAATAAATTGGCTTTATCACAACATAACCAGGGTCTCTCATTTAAATTCATTCATATGAGAAGACAAGAACCCAGGTGGGGCCAGCCCACCCCCCAACCCCGACTCAGAGGGCTCTCTGGTAATACCTTTAAGGTGTCTGTGAGAGGTACCAATAACAACGAGGGTGAGCCCTAATCCAATATAACTGGTGTTCTCAGAAGAAGAGAATATTAGAACGTAGACATACAGAGAAAACCAGGTGAAGACACAGGAAAAGATAGCTACTGGTATATAAGGAGATATAGATATAGATAGATAAGGAGAGAGGCTTCAGAAGAAACCAACTTTGCCAACAATATTGATCTTATTTCTTGCCTTCAGGACTGTGGAACAATAACCTTCTGTTGTTGAAGCCACACAGGCTGTGCTACTTTGTCGTGGCAGCTTTAGAGGACTAATACAGGTGCTAAGTGTCAAGCATTTTTCTCTGAAGCCAGAACCAAGGAGGCGTTCTTTGGTATGGTTCTCTAACAAAACAAAACAAATCGGTTCTATATGATTTCTAGTTATTCAAATCTGTGAATAATGAGAATAAAGCAAGAATGTGTTCATGCTTTGATTATATCTGAACTTTCAAAACAATTCTAAACCTTACCCAAAATAAGTTTGGCTCCATGCCCTACGTTATATTCAAAAGTGAACTCACGATAAAGACCTAACTGTAAAAAGTACAGATAATAAAATAAAATGTAGAAGGAAGTCAGTTTTTCAGCCTACGAGTGGATAAAGACTTTTGAACATGAAGCTAAATCCTCAAATCACAATGTCAAAATTGAAGATGTGTGGTTCACTCATGTGTAGGTGTTTCTGGGGAAACCACAGTCTCCAGGCTTTGGTGAAAGGGAAAGTGCCAGAGGGGAGCTGGCTTTTATAGACAGAAGTCCCCATCCTTGGTCCTTGATTTGTCCATCTTCCTGTAAATGAGGACTCCAAATCCTCAAAATTTTATTGGTCCAAGAGGCATGATCTAACTGGTCAGAGCTGCACAGCTCCCATTGGATTGGGAAAACCTCAGTCCTATTGGTTGAAATAGGATTCCAGGAACTCCTTTATAAGGGTTGGCTCAGATGGCAGAAGCGCAGTGCAGGCAGGCAATTCAGTGCAAAAGCAAATAGTTCAGTGCAGGCTGATCCCTGAAGTGCACTTTGCGTGAGAACCCCTATTTTGAAATAGCTGCTAGGTCTGTCTGTTTTGTTTAAAAATATATTTTATTGATTTTTTTTACAAAGAGGAAGAGAGAGGGAGAAGGAGTTAGAAACATGGGTGAGAGAGAAACATCAACCAGCTGCCTCCTGCACACTCCCCACCAGAATCGAACCTGGGACCCTTGAGTCCACAGACCAACACTCTGTCCACTGAGCCAAGCTGGTTAGGGCTGTTTTGTTTTTAATTCGAGATCAGTTAGTAACCAGAGCCCTTCTTAGTAGGCACCTTATTTCTCAGCGTTCAGAACGGATACTCTAGAAAAAGTGAACAGACAGCCTAGAGAAGATATCTGTAACATCTACAGACAAAGGAGATTAATATTTAGACTATCCTCCGCTCAAAAAATCAAAACATAATAAAAAACTTATGCAAATCAACAAGAAAATAATGCAATACCCAATAGGAAAATGAGCAAAAGATATGAACAGGTAAATCTCAGTAAAGGGCCAGATGTCAAAACAAGCAGATGAAGAAAAGCTCAACACCATTAGCAACAAAAATGCTGAAAGTTTAAACATATCAGTATTCCACATTGTCTATTAGAATTGCAAAAACGAGAACACTGGATAATATCAAGTGTTGCAGAGAACATAGGAATGACAAAAACTATTAGATTCTGTTGCAGGGAATATGAACTAGTCCATTAGTTCTGGAAAGCAGAATACCAAGAGAATCCCCCTCTTAGTATTCTTGGAAGGTTGTTTCCAGGAGCCCTACAGATACCAAAATCTGCAGAAGCTCAAGTCCCCTGTAGAAAATGGTGTAGATCAATGCATATAGTCGACCCTCCGCATCTGCAGATACCCAACCGTGGAGCAAAAATACTATTTTCATTCTGCAGTTGGTTGACTCTTCAAACACTAAACCTGGGGATACTTAGAGCTGACTGTATATGTACTGGAAAAAAAAAAATCCATATAGAAGTGGACCCAAGCAGTTCAAACCTTGCTGTTTAAGGATTAACTATATAAATTTAGCATATTGTGGTGATTACCGTATGGAGGAAAAGAAAAGGGTGGGGGAGGAAGAGGGTTTAAGAAAAAAAATAAAATAAAATAGGGTCTTGCATGCACTGATGATGCTATACTGAAAATCAAGGAGCATAATTAGCTTAGTTCTGCATCTGAGATTTAAAGACACACACACACACACCATACCCCATCCCCCACCCCAAGTTGCTCCTGAATTTATTTCAGCACATTATTCTGCAAGCCACATCTGCAATGGGAAATGCTAGTAAAACTGTCAGATCTCATTAAACTCTCCTGGTTACACTGTCTCAAGTGGTTCACAACCAGCGGCCCTTTGGTCTCTCCTCTCTCCCCAGGGACATTTGCTGTTGGCAATTTGTTACCACACGGGAGAGGGGTGCTCCTGGCATCTACTGGATAGGGGCCAGGACAGGGCTGCGCTTGCCACATGGACCAGGCCCACCTCCCCCGACAAAGAAGTAGAGCTGAGGTTGGGAACCCCATGCCATCTCTCTGAGTTGCCCATTCTGAGGGGTACGGGAGGGGCTGCCCTGCACTCGACCAAATGCTCCTCTGTTCGGCCCCATCTCACTCTTCCATCCGCCCCTTCCACTCCTCTTTCATTTCCGCTCAAGCGCAGTCTACTGTGTATGAGCCTCCCTCACCCTGGTGGCAGGTGTCATTCATCTACTTAAATATCAGATTCCAATTGCTCCTGAAAAGACTGTGAATGGAATCAACTGGCAGTAATTACTGCCTTTAATAAGGAAAGGCAATTGCTAAGATGCCTCTCACTCCTCTTCCTTTTCTCTCTCATCAGTGGCTCCTCCACACACCCATCTGTTCAAATAGGACGAGAATCCAATTTAAGATTCACTGGGGGCCTCTACTAAATAGTCGTGAACTTGGTGAAGCAGATAAGGGTCCCAGGACAGTTAGAAAGAACAAACTC